TTTTTCATTTGCAAGTGTCTTCAGTTCTCCTCTTGGACACTCTGCATGTAGGAGTGTGATAAATTGATAACCCCTCCAAGAATTAATGAAAAAGCAAGCAAAGTCTGAATAAAATCATGCTTTGAATTCCTTGCTCATGGGAAACAGCACACAAACTCTCTTGGACACCAAGGAGTGCCTGGATTTCTCACAATACCCCTTATACAAATGCCCATGAGTTTCAGACCTTTCTCAAAAACAAGCTGTCCACATGTCAAACCAATTTATGCAAAAAAGGAATGCCTTGAAGCTATAAATGGGAACTCCTCCACTGCACAACTTGATCTCACCAGGAAACAGCATATGGAATATTCAGCACAAACCACCTTTGCAGATTCACAGACCAATGAGACTAAAAAGCCAGGTGTCAAACACTGAGCAGGAAAGCTGAAGCAGCTTCACTATCTAACATTTAATTAGAGTGAGACCCCAAACCATAAAGAGAAGGTTTAGCAACAGAGCAGCAAGCTGAAATGCAGTGTAACAAAATTTGCTTAAAAACTATCAAAGCCAGCCACCAGAAATCAGGAGTGTCATGGATTTGAGGTGAACATTACTGATTTCCTTTCTGCAGGCTTTGAAGAATGCAGCATGTACATGACAAGGCTTTTATGAAGGGCCTGGCTAATATGAATGCCCATTATAGCTGCTGTACTGCACTATCTGGAAGGCCACAGGAACAAACAAGCTCTGCCAGGTGAGCAAAGAAGAAAAGCTTTCAGGAGCAAAAACTCTTAGGCACTTCCCCAAGCCTCCTCTCTCAACACCATTCCTCTGTATTTAGACAAAAGTTCAACATCCAGAGCAATGCCTGCAGTCATTTTTCATTCAATTATATTTCACGGGTAAGATGTTCAAAAGTGACCTCTAATTTCAGAAAATGAAATCCCTGAGACCATGCTCAGATATCCAGGGACTCGCTTCAGAACTGCCAGGCAAAACTGGCACTGACACCTCCTGCCCAGTGCTTCAAATATGCTATTTTGGCTTTGTGTTGAAATGAGGATTTAGAATTCTGATTCTAAGGGGACACAGCTTAACAAGTTCTAGTAGTTAGGTTGAAGTACATGAAATAAATACTTTTGGGAGCTTAGCTTTAGGAAAATAATCAAGTCTGAGGGGAAAGAAGTGATGAGGAAAGCAAGGGTGCTGACTTTAGGCTGCAGGTCTTTAAAATTCTGCAAAAAACCACAAAAACACCCACACTAAAATATCTTACATGAGTCAGTAAATACATGTACATACTCCAGGACTGCAGCCATGCTGTTAAGCTTTCTTCTCTGCTCTATTTTGCCCCTAAATGAAAGCCATTCTCCCTTCTTTCATCTCACAAGATGAGAGCACCTTTTTCTCCCTCTGAAGAACTACTGTATCTCCAGAATAATTTATTTTTAGCACTTGGGTATGAGCTTTGTTTCCTTGTGACTACCAAGGAAACTGATTCAGTTCAGTGATCTAATGAAAAACAACTTCCTTTTTTTTTAAATGAATTCCATTATTAGTGGCATCATTACTATTACATTCCAAACATTCAGGATCCTGAGCTCAAGAGAATAAAATGTAGATTTCAAAATATTTTCCAGGTTGCACAAGCCTAGTCCAAAAAATCACCATCATTCAGGTTAGTCCAACCACATTTCCTCAGTGACCCTCATGATGAATTTGAGATGCCTGATCACAGCCTAGTAAAGCATGGCGTGCAGAAATCAGCTGCACAACTGCAGCAGCTGGAGACACAATCCCCATTTAGGATGAGGAAGGGAGAGCAAGGCTGAGCCCTAAGCTCAAAAACCATGAAGCAACAAGTCCACTGGAGAGTCAGGAAACACCACTGACTGAAAGGGAAGCATGTGTTTGCCAACAGGATTCCAACCAGGAATTGATTAAAATTGCAGCTTTTCAATTAGATGATGTCTGTTTGAAACACCCAGATTAGTCAAATGTAATTGTTGTCCCAGAATAGTCAAATTTAATTGTTGTCAGGCTCTGGAAACTCTGAGAAGGAAAAACAACTTCAGTAGAAATTTTTATATTGTTTGAGAGGGGAAAAAACTTGAAGCCTTCAATACATACCACAAAAAAATCAAGAGAAATTTTCATATTTTTTGGGGGAGAAAGTTGCTTCCCCTTCTAAGACTACTGCAAATACAGTGGATCAGAGATACTACTGGCAAAGTAAGAATACAGAAACAAACATAGTGAAGAGTAATCAGTAATTCTACCAAAGGCAAGAGAGATCCTCTGAAGGTGAAACCTGTAAGGGGACACCCTTGACATTCAAATAGAGTTGCAAGGAACCACTGGTATCTCCTGCAACAGGAAAAGAGGAAAGGACCTAAGCTAAGTCAGTCATTCTTTTCAGGGAAGTCTGAATGACAAAAAGCCTTGGAAGTGCTGACCTCACATTAAACACTCCTTCTGAACACGTATATAGAAATAGAATGAGTATGCAGGAACCTATATCTTAATTCACCCAGTAACAAGAGGCAAAAAAAAAAAAACCACCAAAAAAACCACCATAATCAACATAATCAAGGAAAGAACAAGTGTAATGCAAAGGAAATGGTATACATTCAAATAATATTTGAAAAAACTTTTAAAATCTCGCTACCTTTGCCATGCAATTCATTCAGTGAAGTTATCTGCAATAACCAGGCTTTAAAATAGACATATCATAAAAGGGCAAGAGGCTTCCTTTTCTTTTTCAAACTCATTTTCTTATATCATGATTTATGGAACAGATATTGTGGAAAATATAATTCACTAAGTTGATAGCTGTATTCCAAACAGTCATACATCAAATGACATTACAAACAAGCACTGTAATCAGCAACAGGTCAGTCAATGGTATCTATTTCAGAACTTCAATTCCAAGATTAACTGCTTCATATTTTATTTGGTAAAAGCTGTTACACAAGGCACATGAAGAGATCAAAGGCTTAAAGAAAACAGCTAAGAGAGTGAAAATAAAGATTAATAATACGAAACACTATTTTATAAAGCTGCTAAGGAATGAAAAAAGGGTGAAGCTAAATTTTAATGGAAGACATCATGTGCGCTGCTACTTTACCTTACAAATAAAAACACAGCTTTGTTTCTGGGAAGTACACATCACCTTCAAGGAAGTACACAGATTTCAATTTTAATAACCTCAACTAAACTTCTAACCAATAAAAACATGTCTGATTGGTTTGGGGTTTCTTCTTCCAAAATCCCCCAGCTGCAGGTAGCTCTCCAAAACCAAGCCCAATCCCTCACCTCTAACAGATTTTGCCCAATCCTTATTTGGATGAACTCCTAATCAGCCTGCTAGTTCTTACCTTCTCTAATCCCTTCACCTTTACTACTTGATTTCAGCACCAGTTTGCCCAGGGTTGTTCAGAGAGGCAGCTTTGGCCATACCTGAGCAGAGGCAGCACAGACACACCTATGAAACGCATGCAGGTGAAGAACATGGAGCCACAGTGTACCACAGGAGTAAATTCTCAGAGTGAAGCATTCAAAAGCACCTAGGAAACCACCCCAATCATTTTCAGACTGAAATTTTAGAAAAAAAAAAAAACCCAGGCTTCAAGATGTGCATCCAGATAGGTCAAATGAAAACCACAAAAACCTCCCTGACAACTGGCTAGGCTGCAGTATTGCCAAGTGCAATCTACTTGCTCATTTGGGCAAATAAGACACCTTGGCACATCCCCCAAAATGGTATTTTGTCCCCCCCCCCCCCCCCTTGTTTTTTCTGCTTAAATGAAAGATTATCAGTCCCTGGAATCCAAACACAAGACAGAGAGAGATATCACAGTGTGTGCTAATTACAGCAGTACAGGAACAGTTAAAAACCATAAATAAAAAAATAAAAACCCTCCTGTATCCAAACTAGTGATTTGCTGAATTCTAATTTTTGTAAACAATTCCTCAAAGAAAATCTTCAAATGCAGTGATGAACAGCTTTTTGCTCTGTTATTGTTTTCTACTTAAGCTTGAAGCACTATACTTGCCCAGTGTGTAAGAGGGTGTGAGAAGACTGAAGCAAATTTAAAATCCTTACGCAAACTTCCATGGACAACATCAGCAGATGTCTCCATGCTCACTCTGTCCTTATAATGATTAAATGATGCTGCTTGCCAAGGTTTCCAAGATGACCACTGACTTTTTGTGCGACATGAATTTGTGGAGAATTTTTCAAGTTTGACAGAAGGTTTATATTGTACGTATTTGTACGGCACTGTGTGCTAGTTACAGCAGTACAGGAACAATTAAAAACCATAAATATGCTCTGTATCCAAATTAGTGATTTGCTGAATTCAAACTCTTGTAAGCAATTCCTCAAAGAAAATAATCAAATGCAGTGAGGAACAACTTTTAGAGTCTGTAATTCTTTTCTGCTTAAGTACTATACTTGCCCACTGTGTGAGAAGACTGAAGCAAATTTAAAATCCTTATGCAAACTTCCATGGGCAGATGTCTCCATGCTCACTCTGTCCTTATAATGATAATTTATGCAGCTTGCCAAGATTTCCAAGATGACCACTGACTTCTTGTGGGACATGAATTTGTAGAGAATTTTTCAAGTTTGACAGAAGGTTTACATTGCATAGTAAATGACAATATAAACAAGCACTGTAAGAAGTAAAAAGGTCAGTCAATTGTATCTATTTCAGAACTTCAATTCCAAGATTAACTGCTTCATATTTTAATTGGTAAAAGCTCTTCTTTTCTTTTATTCTTTAAAGCTACACGTTCTAGTTTAGCTCTTGTTTTATCTCATTCACTAAAATGTCAGTTCAACGGGGGATCCTGGATCTGCAGCCCACCTGTGCTCAGAATGACCCAGATCATTCCAACACCCATTGCTCCCAGCCCAACCACGATGCAGAATGCCTCTGGCACATGGAGCACTGCGTTAGGACACGTTTTTCCAGCTCGTAACCTCCTGCACTCTCCACCAAAGGAGCACTTACTGCCATTGTCGTCAGAGTCCTCACTGCTGCTAGGAAGCCGATGTCGTTTCATGATCTCCCCGGGAAACAGCAGGCAGCCTGGGAAGCAATGAGACAGCACTTAACCCCAGGTAATGACACACACTCAGCAGCTTGCGCTTCTGATGGCATGCGAGCATTTACAGCACACAAAGGAAAACAAACAACTCCAGCAGCAGCTGAAAGATGAACAGGGAACCTCTCAAGGGTGCTTAATTAGGCTGTTATCCCAGGAGCAGGTGAACAGCACTGGAGAGTGGCAGTGACAGTCCCACCCATGCTTTCCCCCCACCAAAAAGCTGAATTTTGTCCTGAGAGGCGTTAAAATCACTAAATATCCGCAGCCAATGTGCTTAACTTCCCCTGCCTATTCTGCCACTAGATTCGCAATACAATAACGTTTTTCCTGCTTGTGTCAATATTTACTTTGGCTAATATATTTTTGGAGCAATTTTGTTCCTGTTTAAAGTGCCAGATTTACGAAATCGGAGATTAAAGTCATCCACTTACACATAAAAAACAAAACATCAGCAGTAGCAAGCCCAGTTTTCCCAGATTAACTAAACATGCATCATCTATGCCCTGGAAAGCACCACCCTCTAAGATGAGAGGGTTACGTCCTCCTGCAGGGACATTTCAGCACCATGCCTAACACTAACTGTTCTTTGGGAGTAAGATTATTCAGATGATTACTCAGAGGCTCCTCCAAATTGCCAGATTTCTACCAATACCAAATTCATGAGCACGTGGGGCTGTGACAAAAAGGCCAAAAGTTCCAAATCTTTCTAAGTGGTGTTCTCATGGCACTGACATTTTCACGTGTATTCCCTGTGGAATGAAGCCAAATTCAGTAACAACAAGGAAGCTGTAAATAGCTAGTCAGTATTTACATGTAAAAAGCTATAAAAAAGTCAAGTTGAAGAGCAGGCAAAGACATGACAAGACAAGTCCAGAAAGGCATATCCACCATAAGTTAAACTGACAAGGGCTCTAGATGCACATCAAAACCCCTGAGTCTTTGCTTATCACATATCAATCCTGGTATCAGCAAGGTCTGGGCACTCTGCTGGCAGCAAATCCCTCATACCCACCTCTGCACACAGCCAAAATATTCCTTTGCTTCTAGCTAAGTGCAGAAAATCTAACCTTATTTCCATGTGAGCTCAGACTTTCTCAAACCCTCTCAACAAAACTGCTTGCAGTGGTCCTTCAGTGCAAGAATTAACTGCTCCAACTTTGTTCACTGAAAGCACAGCTCATTGTAAGAAATTCGGTAATGCCTTCAACTTTTCTAAGACTGATACCCAAAATAAGAAAACCTAAAAAAACCTGACACTATTTACAATAAGGCACAAAAATATCTGCTTGCAGAGAAATTAATACAGTTCTAAGAGCATGAGCATTGCAGGATTGCCTCCTATTTCATATTACACCTGTAAACAGAGTTGGGGGCAAGCCTCCCTCCCACAGACTGACTTTTTAGAGTGGGATTTAACACACCTGTCACTGAAACATGTAACAGTTTTGAACTGCAAAGTTTGCTCACTAAGAAGAAGCTGAATGGTTCACATCACCAAGACCTTTTGTCACCACTTCATAAAGCAAAAGTTCACATGCAGTGTCTGATGCCAGAGAATAAAGAATCATCAGTGGCAGCCTCTTACAGGGCTAGAAGAATTCTCTCCAAAAATTGCTTTGAAGCAGGCCAAAACTTTGTGTGTATGATGGGAGATAGAAATGCTGCCAGTGGATAAATACCCACACTAGCCAGGACCATCAAAACCCACTGAATACAGATCTGGTATAAATTTAAGAGATCCAGAGCCAAATTCCTATACAGTCACTTAGAAAGACAAAAAGCCAATATTCAGATCCAAAACAGGCTAAGACAGAGCTGAAAAATCAATTAGTTCTTACAAGGCCAAAACTAGAGGGATGAATATCTATCTGTAAGGTACTTGTTCTATTAGTTCACATATTAATAACAGCAATGTAAAAGAAGATATTCACTTAGCAAAAATCTCGCACAAACAAAGTAAAGGCAACTTGGAAGAAAATTCAGGAAATTTGTTCTGTCTCAAAAGTTTAATTTGTATATTTCTGGTTCATTTCTTGGTTTATTTCCCATATGGACTGAAAAGCACAATACACTGATAAGCAAAACAACAGAGTTTATGTACACTAAGACACACCTGTGAACTTGCAACAAACAAGAAAATTTGGAGTTCTGCTCCTTCACATCCTTCTGGACAAGCGTATTTTGAGCTGATCTTCTCCTAACATACTTTCTGCAAATTCAAACAAAAAATAAAGAAAAAGATGGAACCTTCTTCTTCCTACCACGTGTCTTTAAAAAACCCAACATCTCCTTTTTGGTTGCTGTTTAAAGGAGAGTGGTAATCACACCTCCCACAGTTTAAGCACTCTCCAGAGCTTTTCAGGAAATAATCCAGAGCAGAAGCCACTTTCCTGAGCACAGAGTATTTAGATAAGGCAGCTAATTTGCTTGTCCACTGCAGTCAGGCATCTGAAGTTGGCCACACTGAAAAGCCTGTGTTCTCAATTGTAACATTAAAAGAAATATCCCATTTGATGAAACTCCTGAGAGTTTGTTTTATAGATCTGTGTGGGGAAAAAAAATTAAACTTAGAGATTTCATTTTCCCATCTTTGAGCCTAACCTGAGTTTACAGGGAGCTAAATCACAGATGAGAATACAGCATTTGGCTTCTTAGAGCAAGACTTAAACCTTGTAAGATTAACCCCCTGGAACTTCAGTCATTAGAAGAACAGCTTTTTTTCAACCTCTAAAATAATTTTAAACTGCTGCCGCCAGATGTTCATATCTAACACATGTTCTAGAGGTAACACTGGAAGAGCTAACAAGACGTACAACCACGCAAACTGAAATGCTCCTGGTTTCTGTCAGGTGGTGGTGACTCAAAGTCACACAAGAAACATGTTAAAAAGTGCACATTAAAAACAAACATGGGTTATGGATAGTGAGTTAGATGCAGACTGATACTTCAAGTTTTTGCCCTGTTCCAGCAGGCAAACACTACAATCACTATGCCTGTAAGCAAAAAGAATTCCCATGTAAGCATAAAAGCAGCAAAACATTGGAGGCCAGCTTTAATAGCAGGAGTAAAAGCTATGCACCCCAGCCTGCAACACTTGCAGGGCAGGAGGAGACACCCAGATGACTGAGCTCAATTCCTAAGTGCCTGCAATCACAATAATTGCTCTCCAGCCCTGAAGTTCCCACAAAAATCCACTGCAGCCACCCAGGCCACAGAACAAGCTCCCAAACCCCTTCTCAGAATGAATGAAAGAATGACTGTGACTTTCTCTGAAGAAAGGACACAGTCAGCCAAGCAGTGCTTGTGGGTGAACCCAGGATCTTCCATCAAACATTTCTGGTTTTCCCAAATTCTTATAGCAGCCCAAAAGGGTGCTTGCCCAACACACTGTTCACCTAAAGGGAAAGCCCAGCACTCCAAAAGCTGCTGCATCCAACAACCCTAAGCTGGCAAAGGCTGCCCCACCAAGCCACACTCTCTTGTGAGTTTCCAGTGACTCCTGTGAATTCCTAATAACTCAGCAACTTTATTTACAAATTTTCAGTTTCATTTCCTCGAAAGAGGATTGTTTCTTTTTGTTAAAAGCATCCTTTCAGAAATCAGTCAGACCAAAACCAAGCACGCTGATGATGTTTTCCCCTGACACACCAGTGTAACATCCACCAATTTACTGGGAAGAAACCAAACTGGGCTCAGGCTAATGCCAGCTTTCAGCCAAACACAGCTTTTGAGAAACAGCCACGATTCTGCTGGCAATGTTACTCCAATTCCACAGGCAGCAAAGCATCCAAGAACACTTCATGCAGTCACACCAGCATGATAAATGCACCAATGGGACACAGACCATGCCTTTTTAGCCCCCAGTCACCCTCAGATGAGCTGGTCACACCAGGGCAGCACAGCTGAGGCCAAGCACAGCTTAGAGCACGCCCTACTGAGCTGCTCCAGAGGCTGGAGGTGCTGCTCTGTTTTACAGAAACACATCACCAGTTGCTTTTCCACTCTTTTTAATCGTGCTTGCCCTGGAAGTTAAGCTCTGGGTTTTGGTCAATGATTAGATACAAACTTTAAACATAAGAACGTAACTTTGGACTTCCATGGTGCCTTTGCTCAAATTGGTTTTGAAGGCAAAATTACACCACCTGAAACTGACTTCTGTATTTTGGAGAGCGTAGGAAGCCTTTTTCAAAACACTTGTAAATGTTGTGCAAATGAAATGACTGGACAATAATCTAATATAATCAATGTCAGGTCACACAACAGCATTTGAATTTACATATTCCTGTGGGGCTGAGCAACAAACACCTCAATCTATACAAATAACTAGATGCAGGTAGGCATGGAGGCTTTGCTGTCCACTTCCCAGTATTTGATGACAGATGCAGTGCAATGGGTTAGACTCAGCAACCTGACACAGCACAGAAAATTCACTATTTTTAGCAGTGTCATTACCATGCTACTCCATCCTTACCTCTCCAAGAGATAAATTACCAAAAAACCCTAAGACCCCACTGGACATTGATGTCAAGATTTCCTTTTTCCTCCCACACTGGAGTCACAGGAGTTGCACTGATAAGAGTGTAAAAAATGCAAAGAGCAGAACTCCAGAAACCACCCCAAGAAACTGGGACAACAGTGTGCACACACACATCCATGTGCACAGTTAATAACCCCACATAGATCTTCACTCAGTTTGACCTCAAGTAGAGAGGCAATCAAAGAGAAAGATGTAAAGTGTGTCAGTCCTTGTTATGCAAATAGCTAAACAGAACCAGATTGTAAAAAAAAATTATACATGGGAAAATCTACATCCTCAGGTCAAAGGTTTTCCACAGCACAATTCTTAGTGAAGTATTTTCAAGGGCTGCATAAACCCCTGGGTAAAAGAGTGTATAATTCAAACTCTGACAGACAATTAACTGTAACCATGTTAACGGGTGTCACTGTAACAAACTGCACCGAACAGCTGCACAGACAGAATGGGAAGAAAGCAGAGTTATGACAGATGTACACCCTGAAGACAAACTGAAAAACTGCCTTTTCCTCAAAGTAACCCACTAACTGCAATGAAATGAAGACCTAATTATCTCTAGTACACAAGAAATTGCTCCAGAACACCTATTGTACAAATGGAAGTGAAGTGTGACACAGCTTAATAAAATGGGTAGAAGATGCAGACATTTGGCTTCTATTATTGGGCTCTTTTTAAATAGCTTATTTATAACACCACCCCTTGTTCACTGACACCTGACATCACAAGAAGCTTTTTGGCTTCTACCCTAGACCTAAAACAAAACAAAAAAA